CGGTGCGGACCACGCGCTGCGGCGGCTTGCGCTCGCCCGCGGGCGCACCGGAGTCGCGGGCAAAGATCCGGCGGCGGGCGGCGACGGCGGCGTTGCCGGCCTCGACCGCGGCGTCGGCCGGTCCGGGGTCGGGCTGCGGCTTCGGGGGGGAGGGGGCGCGCTTGCGGAAGGCGTCGACGGGGGTGGCGGGACCGGAGGTCCAGGTCGTCGGGGAGACCGGGTCGGGGGAAGAGGGGGCGGCGGGCGGCGGCGTCCTCCGTCCCGATCCCCCGGACCCGAGCTTCGCCAGGGCCTTGGCGGCCCCCGGGTACCCCTGGTCCCTCGCGAGGCCGTACAAGCGGGCGGCTTCCCCGAAGTCCCTCTCGACGCCCCTGCCCTCGGCGTAGCACGCGGCCAGCCCCGCCTGCGCCTGGGCGTTGCCGGCGTCGGCGGCGAACCGCAGCCACCGCACGGCCTCGCCCGGGTCTTCGTCGACGCCCATGCCGCCCCGCAGCATGCGGCCGAGTGCGGCGGCGGCGGGGGCGTCGCCGGCCTCGGCGGCCTTCCTCGCCCAGAACAGAGCTTGGCCAGTGTCCCCAGAACAGAGCTTGGCCAGTGTCCCGGTCCGTGCCCCGCCCTTCGAAGCACAGGGCGGCCAGCCGCCGCTGCGACAGCACGCAGCCGCCCTCCGCCGATCTGCGGTACCACGCCGCCGCCTCGATCAGGTCCACTTCGACGCCCTCGCCCCTTTCCAGCACGTGGCCCAGGGCGCCCATCGCCCCCGCGTCGCCCGCCTCGGCCGCCTGCCGGTACAGCGCCGCGGCTTCCGCACGGTCCGCCGGCAGCCCCCGTCCAGCGTACAGCGCGTTGCCCAGCGCGAACGCCGCGGGCGCGTGGCCGCGCGACGCCGCCCTCCTTAAGTGCGGCAGCGCGTCGGCGTGGCGGCCCGCCGCGCTGAGAGACGCCCCGCGCTCGTAGTCCGCCTGGCCCGGCGGGCCCGCGAGGGCGGGCATCCCGAGACGCGCGCGGGGCGGCGGAGGCGTGCCCGCGGCCACCGGGCCCCGAGGGGACGGCTGTTTGGGGGTCGCCAAGGGGTTGTGCGCTGATCGGGGCTCCCCGATCGGGCGCCCCCCTTAGCTCCTCATTACCAACCAGAAGACGACGTGGCAGGATCCTTCAACAGTACTGGAGGATGAACGCTGCCTCCCCGGATTCGGAAGTGGGGTAGCGTTTTTCGTGGCTTCGGCTTTGAACATGCTCGAGCAGCACATCGATCCGGAGCTCTGAATCGCCAGACTGCGATGGCAGAGTGGATTTGACGGAACGGAACTGACGGACACGCACTAGCGACGGAGACGTGCGCCTTGGCGCGATAACCTAGTGGCATCGAGCTACTCATGTAGTACGGCGCCGGCGGATAGACCAGACCAGACCCAGACCCATGCTGCGGCTCCTTCCCCCCGGTTCGACGACAATTTAAAGGGGCACAATGTGGCGCGCGCAGCCTGCCGCCGTCGACCTGCATCCGCGTGCGTCCCGCAGTCCAACGATCGCGAGCGAGTTCCTTTACCCTGCCCGCAGGCCCGCGGATTCCGCCGACCTGTCCGCAGCCCCGCCGCGGATCGATCGCCGTCCATTCCCGCGGCTCCTGCCCGGGGCCGCGCCAGGCCGACCGCACAATCTCGAACCAACGGGGCACGGCCATGCAGGGCACGTCCATCCGTCCTGCCCTCCACCCACGCCCAGCCAGCAGACCGCAAGCCAGACCCGCCTTCCGCGCGACACAGGGGTGCCGGGTCCCCAATGTGCCGCCCCGTTGCGGCAAACGGTCCGAGGCCGACGGATCCTCCGCCCTCGACCCTCCTCCGCCCGACGGACGGCATCGATGACGGACGGCGCGCTCCATCGTTCGGGCATGCGCGGGCCTTCTGGTCCGGACACGCCCCGGGGACCGATCCAAACCTCCCGCACCGCAGCCGGCGTACGGTGGGTCCCCCCTCCCGCGGCGCCCCGCCCGCACCCCGCGACGCGTTCCCGGGCCCGCGAGCGCGGCGCTCCTCCCGCCCACGATCCCGCGACAAGCCCCGACAAGCCCGCGGCGGAACTCGGATCGGGTCCCGGGCCCCGGCGGCACAGCGCCGGCCGGCGGGCCGATTCCGTCCCTCCGTGGCGCCGACCCTACCCGGGCGCGTGTGCGGTGCGCGGGGGGTTTTCGGGCGGATGGATGCTATGGGATGCCCGTTCGAGCGCGGGGTGGATGTTCGCATGGACGCGGAGGTGGAGTTCGGCGCCAACGGGGCAAATGGCCCGACGGCCGCCCCAGCCCGCCCGCTCTTTTTCGAAGCCCCCTCCGCCATCCACGCACACCCTTCCGCATCGCCCCAGGACCACGTTCCGGGTCCGAAACAGTCACCGCACCCCGCATCTGCACGTCCGGCATGCATCGCGGGGTCGCGGCACGCCGACCGCCCGTCGGAGGTCCGGGCCTGGACCGGCGGCCGGCGGGCCGATTCTGCCCAAGCAATTGCGCCGCGCCGACCAGGGTCCGCCGGCCAACCCAGCAACGCAAACACACCATGGCGGCGACCGCGACGGCGATGGCGGCGACGGCGGGCCGGCTCCCCCGGCTCATGGGGCTGCCCCGGCTCGACGCGACCGACTGCGGCCCGCCCAGCCCGGCGTGGAGCGTGGGCAGCGAGGCGACTCTGGGCGGGGGCTGCCCGCACGGCACCGGGGACGAGGAGGAGGGCGCGTGCTACGCGTGCCTCACCTCCCCGTTCGCCGAGTTTGCCGCCAAGGTCGGCGGGAGGGGCCCGCTGGACAGCTTGGCGTCGTGCGCGACGCTGCGCGGGGAGGACCCCGATGCCGCCCCCGCGGGCGGCCGGAGGAGGGTGCGGTTCGACCCCGCCGTCGCGGTGCATGAGACGTGGGCGAGCGGGGAGTACGATCGCGGGTCGGCGCTGCCGGGGCTGCCGGCGGTGGACGAGGAGGGGGGTTGGGCGTGGCTGGATCTGGGCACGGGGCCGATGGAAGCCCTCGGCATGCCGCCGCCGGACTGCCTCCCCGGGGTCCCCGGGGGGGAGTGGACCAGGCCGTGGCGAGAGGGCTCGCTCGATCTCGTGGCAGGGTCGGCGGCGGAGGTGCCCCCGCGGCGGCGCTCGCTGTTTGACCGGACGTGGGGCGGCGTGCGCGGGTTCCCGGCGGCCGCGTGGGCGGCGGCGGGGGCGCTGCGGGACATGGGCGGGGCGGCGTGAACGGCGTGCGGGAGTCGGATAGATGTGCGGTTGGAGGGGCGGGCTGCGGCACGGACGGGGGAGGCGGGGCACGGGCAGGTCCCGGTGGCCCGTCGGCGGAAGGGTCTCGCAAGGGCGGGACGGTATACCACTGTAGAACGGATGTAGAACGAAGTGGATCGTGGATCGACGACTGTCCATCCTATCCGATCCCCGGCGGGATGGAGGAGAGGCCCGATTGCCCCGCCCGCGCTCCGCACCTGCCCCTGAGCATGCCGCCCCCGCGCTTCCTCCGCCTCGAATCGGTCGTCCGCCTCCCCCGCCACTCGGCGCTCTCCCTCGCCGCCGCCGCGGTGTCCGACGCCGGCGGCTGGGTCTCGTCGCACGCGCTTTTCTCGGACGTCCGCGCGACCGTCGGCTTCCGGCTGCCGGCATCCAAGACCGGCGACTTCGGGCGGCGGCTTGCCGAGGCCGGGATAAGGACCGAGCCCGAGGTGCCCGCCACCATGGCATCGGCCCCCGCGGGGGACAACGAGGGGGGCGGGCAGTCCGAGGGGGCCGACGAGGAGGTGTGGGGGCTGCTGGGCATGACGTTCCCCGAGGGCACGGGCGACCTGAAGCACAAGATTTCGAGCATCGGGGACTGACCGCCGGCGCGGGATTCCGCCGGCGGTGACCCGGACCGCGGGACGGGGAACACCCCGCTGGGCAAGAGTCGCGCCATGCGGGGACGACTCGAGGGCCGTACGATCCTCGGACGATTCTGCCGGCGGGCACGTGCCGGCGCTTCGACGATCTCGACTCTGCGCGCGCGCGCGGAGCGTCGGCCGAGCCCGAAGCGCCCTTTCTCCCTTGGCCGCCGCTCGCGCGACTTGCCCCGCCGCTCGCCTCCCCGGCCGTCTGGAACCAAGCTCCACGGACGCCGGTTCCTCTCGGCCGGGAAATGGGAGCGCGATCGGCCCGCGCGCGTGGCGATGGCACCCTCCGGGAGGCGGCCGCACCGGCGCGAGCGCGCTTCCAAATCGTGCCCAACCGGCCGGGACGGCTCGTCCGGAGCGCAGTCGCCGTCCCCCACGTGCTCTCACCGGGGAAGCGTTCCGGACGACGGCTTCGCGGGGCTTCATGGAGGCACCGGGATCGGGCGCAAGGCCGCGAACGGCCCATCTCGGGTCTTCCACCCCCGCTCCGCGGCCTCTCCTCAAAACACCGGCTCGACCTCCCGCTACCAAGCGATCCCGATCGAGGCTGGCTCGCCGTCGTGGCGGCATTGACGGCGGGCGGCGTGCGTGCCGGATGCACCTCACGACCAGCACGATTCCGCGGGCGCCCGCAGGTGCCGTGATGGGATACTGCTCGGACCGGCGCGTTGGTGTCCGTGAAGGTTGCCGATGACCCGGGAGACGAGATTTCGCGAAGGCGGGAGGTGAAAGTCACGCGCGGCGCGGGATGGACGTGGGCGGCAGCGCAGGGTGTCACGTCGAGTTGTGTCAGGCCAGTATAGGCGTCCGCGCGGATAGGTCCAAAAAGTTTGTCTGCCCATTGCAGGGCGAGCGTCCGCGCGGATAGGGTTTCGCAGGGGAGGCGGGCGGGCCGGAGGCCCGCCGCCCACATCCCGGGAACTCCCTGGGCGAAATGGGCATCCAAAAAGTTTGTCTGCCCATTGCAGGGGTCGACCTGCGACCGAGCGTCCGCGCGGGTAGGGTTTCGCAGGGGAGGCGGGCGGGCCGGAGGCCCGCCGCCCACATCCCGGGAACTCCCTGGGCGAAATGGGCATCCAAAAAGTTTGTCTGCCCATTGCAGGGGTCGAACCTGCGACCTTCGCGTTATTAGCACGACGCTACTAACCAACTGAGCTAAACGGGCCTCGCTTCTCGGTCATGGAGGGGGCGTGCGGATGTCTGGGAGGCATGGTGCAGCCATATACCGGCCGTGCGCGGGGCGGGATCGGCAGCCCGCCGCATCGCGCTTCGCGCGGCGAATCCGGCTGTTTCCACCCCTTGGCGCATTCGGCCTTTCTACTGGAAGAACCTCGAAGGCACACTGAGGGTGCCGGGGGAGTGACGCTTCCCGGAAGTGCGGGCTGGCCGCTCCACCTCGGAGCACCAAGCCGGCGCATGATCCGCCTGTCCGCGGCCCCTTACAGACCATTTTGCGTCGAGGGCGATTCCGAGCGTCCGCCGAGGCCGGCGGTCGGGGCCCCGCGGTGTCCAGATCCATCCAGGGACGGCTGACCCTGCTGTCCCCAGCGAGCGAAACGCTTCCGTGGCACTTCAGGCCCTCCCTTGACACCTGTGCCCCGTACAAGCCTCGGATACGATTGGCGCAATGTTTGGTACGTGCCGAAGGCGCGGGAAGGATGTCCGCAGACCGGTAGTTGGACTATCTACCCAGTGCCGCCCCGGTCCATCGGCGGATGTCAAACGGGCCATCCATCGCATCGTTGGTTGTAGATTCTAGTTGCCGAAGATCCGAAGCCGTTGGAATTCATTTCTGATATTGATTCTGATTGCATGCGCTGAACCTGTGCGTTGAGCGCACGCGGCGCGGCCCGAGCCTTCTCGCCGTCCTCCCGCTTGTCCCCGCCTACGGCCACTGCCTGCAGTTGTCCTTGTGTTCTTTCCACGCCGCCCGCTGGCAAGCGGCACCGCAGTATCGCGTGACCTTGCAGCCCGAGCACCGCCGCAGATCGTCGGATTCGGTGCCGCACTGTTCGCAGCTGTCGGAGATGCAGCCGTCGCCGGATCCGAGCTTCATCAGATGCCTTTGAATCTGTTTGTCATCGTTGTCATAGTCTCTGGAAATGAGCGCCATCCCCAGTAGCGCCCCCACGACCTTGCCATTGCTCTCGAACCGTTCCAGCCGGGTTTGCGCTCCTCCTTGCTCCAAGGCCGAGCTTCAACAGCCGGGCAGAAGTTACCGATGAAGTGGGAGAATTGGAGGGCGGCGGACATCTTGCTTTCGGGCGACGGCGCAGCGCAGTGGGAGATCCAGGGCCACCAGTTCTCGAAAAAGGCATCGATCACGGGCATGCTGTGTCAGGAGAGGTCGTGGGAGACCAGTCCTGGCCTGCGGGGCACGGAGAACGGGAGCACGGAGTACGAGGGCTTGTAACTCTATCCGAACGTTCGGGGAATACATGTGGAGATCTATGGGTTTATATAGTCCGAGCCGTGCAAGTTGAGGCGCAGTCCGGATCGAACTTGCGAGAAGCCGCTGGAAACTCTCAGCGCTTACGCGTCCCTGACATGCTGGCGGCTGCGAGTGACATCAGGATGTCTCCAAGCTCGTCCTGATTGAAGCTTGCATCGAAGCGATTCCGGTGTAACTGCAGCGTGTGGAAGAAGTCCCATTCCACCTGGTTGCTGAGCAGGCAGAGGGCCAGATCATCCATGAACTGCGGCGCTTCGGACAGCCTGCGCCGCACTGGGCGGGAGATCTTCGCCAGACCTCCCATGATGGAGCAGGCCCACTGCGCGGCGGGCTTGAAGTTGCTGTTGTAGGCCCGAGTATCGCTCAGCGCCTCCTCGCTCGGTTCCGCGTCCGCGCACCACGGCTCCCCTGCGGCAGCGTCCACGGCACCCCAGCGCCGGCGACGCTCGATGGATGTGGCACCGACGAATTCCGAAAGGAGCCTCCGGAGCGCGGGCCGCGTCGCTCGGAAGATGTCCAGCGCGGCGCGCGCGGCCTCGTCCCGCTCCCCCGGGCCGCCCGAACCCGGCCCGCCGACGAGGCGCATGACGTCAGCGACCATGTCAGCCGCGATTCCGGCCACCCGCTCGCTCGCTTCCAAGAGTTGGCCCGCGGTGATGTCCGGCCCCCCGGCGCCTGCTCCGCCAGCGCGTCCATGGCGGGGCCCAGCACGGCCAGCTGACGGAAGAGCTCTGCCGGAACCGGAAGCAACGTTGCGGAAAGGGTGAAGACCTGTGCAGCCATGGTGGAACGGGGATGTTTTCGGAGGGGTTGCTGGACAGCTGGCGCTGCTGGCTGAAGCTTCTGATCGATCGAAGACAATATACACGAAAAGCGAACCCCTGCCCGAAGCTTCTGCGTCGCCCTCCGCAACGCCGGACTTGGCTCTGTGCCACTTGAGACCAGCCCTGGACGTCTCCGCCCCCAAACGCTCACCGATCCGATTAGTGCGGATGAAGCTACGTCCGAAATGCGCGGGGACAGAGCTCCCAGCCCGTCGCCCGAGCACCCATTACCCTATTCAGTGCCCCGGGCGGTCCTTGCTGGGGCGGATGTAAAACGGGCCAGTACTGCCTGCGTCCGCTACAGCGCCAATACCATCATCACTGGAAGTAGCAACTCACGTCGAAGAAGGATCCGCGGCACTCTATAGGGGCCGCTTCGCGCTCGGCATCAATCTCGCGTTCCACGAACGGTGCCAAGAGATCAAAGGGCGGAGACTTTGTTGTCCGTGCTCTCTGTACTTTCGGCCACTTCGAAAAGGGTGTTAGGGAGCCTCCATAACGATGTTTTCACCGGCCGTGCCCGTAAGACCATCGGCAAGTAGAGCGGGCGGCGGGACCCGAGTCCCGGATCGACTCGACACCCATCCAAACACCGCGATGTCCGACGCCGCCGTCTCTGAGCCCCCCGTCATTCTGCCGCCCGAGCTCCTCGCGAAGATCGGCCTCACGCTCCCGCCGCGCACGCTCCTCGAGATGGCGCTGGCGTCCCGCGGGATGTGCGCGCTTCTCCTGCCGCACCTCGTCGCCCGCATCGTCGGATCGGTCGTCGACGGGATCCGCGATGAAGGCCGCGAGTGGTCGCCCGTGACCAGGGCCTCCAGACCTTCGTCGGGGACACAGCTGGGGTCGGCCGGTTCCGGTTCTGCCGCAGGCTCTGGCTTCATGACGAAATGCCGGAGGCTGGATGGCCCTGGCAGACGGGGCTCGTGAAGAATGCGGCGCCATTTGTCACCGTCTTGCGCGTCAGCGTCCAGGGGAACACGGACCTGTTCCAGGTACTCGGCCGGGTGGAGTGGCCCAACTTGAAGGAGCTGCGCATGACCACGGCCTTCTTTGACGAAGACGAAGAAGTTGCTCGATTTGCAGTTCGTTTCCCTGCGCTCGAAAAGCTTGGATGCTACGGATTCTTCAACGACCTCCTGGCGTGCATCTGCGAGTGCGTGGCGGAGCACTCGCCTTCCCTCGCGGAGATCGAACTTGACACACCCTACGATGACTACGCGGAGCACCAGGCTGACTTTGTGGCGGCACTTTCGGATCGGGTGGTGAGGGAGCTGATATACGTGGACAACATGGAGCCCGGAAAGCTGGGAGACCTGCTTCGGCTGCGGCCGGATTTCCGGCCTTCCGTTGCCTGGCATCGCGCGGACTCGGACGGCGACGAGCAGTGGGCCCAGATTGTTACTTGCTCGAGCCTGCGTTCGCTCAACATCCGCGGCGGCACCACGAGCATCGCGCGCCAGTTCCGCTCCGGGTTTCCTCCCAACGTCACGCAGCTCGAGCTCGAGATCCACACCGACCTGCAGAGCGCGGACGAGTTTCCTGCGGCCGAGCAGGCCATTCTCTGGGCCGTCGGGTGCGCGCTCGTGTCGGAGCTGAAGATCTGCACGAACGAGTGCTACGAGCCCCTCGATCCCTCCGACTGCGAGCCCCTCGGCACGGCAGACCCGCCCAGGCTCGAGTGCGCGGCGGAGCTGCGCGGTTGGGCGCGCTCGGAAGCACCGATCGAGCTGGTGGACGAGAAGTGGGCTGGGTCGGAGGGGCGCAGGAGGCTCGAGGAGGTCGCGGGGCGGCTAGAAGAGGCGCCGGGCGCCGGTTCCGTTGCGAGCGCTCGACAATGACATGCAGGGAAACAAAGGAAGCTGGAGCTTCATGAGTCTCGTAGCTCTAAGCACAGCGTCTTATTATAGCACTCACAGCACCCTGTCATTTCGAGACTCCTCGGGGCTTTAGTTCTATCCTGAGCTCCGCGGGGCGTCCTCTCGTTTAGCTTACCGGGTGCAGAGAGGGATATAGGCTTCTGAACTACACCGCTCCCTTCCATGAGCTTCAGACAGAACATGGGCTTCCGCGGGCGGAGTGCCGCCGAAACGGTGCGGCTGGTGCGTTCTGAACAGAACGTGTCCCCATCAGACCGTTGGCAACCCGTTCCCGGCATCCGACCCCGCCATGCCGAGCGAGGGCCCCGCGTCGTTCGCGTCGCTGTTCAACCTGCGGCCCGCGGGCTCCACGGGCCCCGCGCCCGGCGGCGCCCCCCGCGTCCCCCGCACCGCCGCGTTCCGCGCCACGGTGCCCGCGCCGTTCGTCAATCCCACCGGCCAGGTGTTTGGCGGCGTGCAGCTGTTTGTGCTGCAGTCCGCCGCGCGCGCGGTCGCGTTCGAGAGCGGCTTCCCGCACGTCGTGACGATTCAGGCGGACAACGTCGCGGGCCTGCCCCCCGGCGGCGATATTGGCGGGTTCTTTCATCCGCAGTGCCCTCGTCCTCATGCTGACGCTCCTCCCAGATGTCATCGTCGACGTCGTCCGCACCACCCGCCGCCTCGGCTTCCTGCGCCTGCGCATCAGCGGCCCCGGCAGCGACCTTCCCCTCGTCCTCGCGCAGGCCGTCGTTGGCCACCTCACCCCGCCGGCCGACTCCACCGCCGTCCCTCCGGTGCACCACCACGTCGGCGCGCGCTTCGCCCTGGCCCCGCACCGCGCCCTCTCCCCGAAGCTGGTCTCGCTCGCGTCCGGCGCCGCGTGGGGAGACAACGTGGTGCGAATCGCGCTTAGCTCCCCCCCCCACGCAGCTGGAAGGCCACTGGAGGGCCATGCGGGCGACCATGGGGCAGGAGGCCGTCGACAGGATCAGGGAAACGGTGGACGGGGGCCCCGAGGCGCTCAAAAGCG